TTATCATCAGATAACATTTGCTGGATACTATATACAATGTTTGGAAATAGTGTCTCCGGAGATAAGACAAGTTGGGAGAATCAGCTCAATAAAATAAATTAAGAGTAGTCTCATTTGAGAGAGCACATCAAAATGCATCGACTGACGTTTTCAAAAGTTTGTGGTATTGAACTTGGGTAGCAAAAATTTCTTCAACAAGACTGAAAAGACCAAATTGGGAGCCCGATTCTCACTATGCAGATCGATGATTTATTTCCAAATGTTTGATTTAAGTGTTTCAGATGAAAGCCCACGTCAAGTGTGTGGGTGTGGGTGTGGCTAGGGTCTCGGTTGGGGTGTGGATGTAGGTGTGGGCCTTTATGAACTCAAACACCCACACCCACACTCACACTCACACTCACCATTTATGGTAAAAAAGTCTTGGTTATACGTCTTGGTGTTCTCGAGAAAATGGTCATTTACTGGAAAGTATTGCGCTATAAAGTACTCTAAATGAGATCCATCGCCACATACTTGTATCGCGTATATCTCGAAAATGGCTCATCCATTTGAGCTGAAATTTTTGAGCTTCTTCCTAACTTTGCTAGGTCTACCTCCTGTAAAAATATCAGTCAAATTGAGAAGATCAATTGAGCAACGATCTGCTGGGATTGGTCTTGGTTTACGTGCAATGCCTCTTAGTTGGCTCATGTTGACTCTCTGACTTTGGTGTACTTTGTTGTACATCTTCTTAAGTCGCAACCTGATACACTCTAGAAAAAATAGGTACACTACCGAATCCTTTTAAGTTCCGCAGGAGCTACGAAATCTAAACTAGTTCTGCCCGCGGGTACATGGATAGAATCTTTACTACGAAACCAATTTAAGGTCCGTGGAACCAAAAAAAGGTTCGGTATCAAATAGACGAAGCTGTAAAAGTTTCGCATTAAACCATAAAGGATTCGTCTCAAACCTGAGTGGCTTCATCTATTTGATACCAAACTTTTTTTTCGCTCCACCTATCTTAAAATGGTTTTCTAGCAAAGGTTTCACCCATGTGCCCGTGGGAAGAACCAATTTAGGTTTCGTAGCTCCGACGGAACTTAAAAGGGTTCGCTAGTGCACCTATATATTTTCTTACAGAGTATTACATAGTACTAGCGAATGGTCTGAGCTGATGTCTACGCTCTGAAATGTTCTACAGTTGATGACCGATGGCTTCCATCTCTATTGAATGAGATTTATGTCTATCATATTCTTATGCACGCCATCCGGCGATGCCCATGTCCACTTTTGCTTTGGTTTCTGTTGGAATCTCGTATTACATATGTAAAGATTGTGTACCTTTGCGAGTTTTAGGAGATTTTCTTCTCTTTCATTTCTTTCCCTATATCCATATTTTCCCATCACGAGTTTCCAATCTATATAGATAATGTTCAGTTTGTGTCTGTTTGCTTCTCTCTGCCGAGTCAAAGGTTAGAGGTCAAAGGTTGAAGGTCAAATAAGGCTATAAGGAGAAGGGCCAAGGGCTATCATATGGATGACCGATAGGCCCTCAAGAGCTATTATATGGGGGTACCCATAGATAGGGATGCACCAGTTCCAGTTCTGACTGGGTACTGAGTCCTTTGATATTTAGTCCATTAGTCGAGTAGTACTTTCTTTTCGCGTATATTGCCATACAGTGATTTTTAGGCTGTTGAAGTAGTGAAATAAGTTATGATACTAAATCCATTGGCTAATCATATATTTCTATATATCAATCGTTATAATTTAGAATACTATAAATGAATTTCATGTTTTCAGGGTGTGGGTATGGGTATGGCTAGGATGTAGATGTGCGTGAGTGGATTGCGGGTGTGGGTGTTGTTTGGATGGATATGGGTGTGGATGTTGTTTGGATGCGGGAATAGTTAGAATGGCAATAACGACACCCATCCCAACGTCAAACCAACCCCCCACACCCACACCCTTAGAAAAGAGGGAAGTACCAATAGATTAGCGGAATAAACGTCAAATGACTAAGTACCCAGTCCGACTGGGACCCAGTTACTGGCACTGGTGCACATCTACCCATGGGTCCTCCAGGGAGTATGGCAAGAAGAGAGTAAGACAATAAGGGGATAATGCTACAAGAGCTACCAGGGATATAAGGCTATAAGGCCGAAGGCTAATGGGCTATAAACATATGTGCGATATAAGAGTATGAGGCCGTAGAGCTACGTATCCCTATATATAATATCGAGTGTCTGTATGTCCGTGACCGAATGAAAAGTTAAACGTCCGTCATCAGACGTTAGAGGCAAAACAAACAGCCGTGCAGTATGCACGGGCTCTCGCTAGTCTGTAATATCGCTGCCAACTTTTGCGTTCCAGTCGTCCGTTATAATGGCTATGGCTTTTCTGTGTGTCCTGGCTAGTGTTTCCTCGATGCTGTTGCAGAACGCTTCGATATCCTTCTCTCAGGATGAGGAGGTTAATACGTAGACGTATATTACTGTGATCTTGAATGGTGCTGCGTTGAATCTTGCTGTGGTTATTCGTGAGCTATTGGATTATATCCTATTAGTGTCTTTTTAGCTTTTGTATTTAGTAGCAATCCTACGCCTCTTGCGCGTGTGTCGTCTTCTTCTGATCACACGAAATCTACACTTCGATGTTTCACATTTTCCTGTCCAGTGCACTTCTGAGATACCAATGATGTCATATCTGAAACGTTTCATCTCATTTCTAAGCCGTTCTAGTTTTCCAGCTGCTCGTAGTGCCTGGGCGTTTCATGTACCAACTGTCTGTGTGCCTTTTGTCAGTTTTAGTTTGTGCGTGTTTGTTGTCGTACTGTTCGTGTTTGTCGGTTTTCCAGTAGCCAATTTTTCGCCTCTGCCCTGGTTACTTGACAGAGGACGTGGGCCTTGTTCACCAGGACGACTTCGGAGCCGATATGATTTTCTACTGTGATCGTTCATGATTGGTTTCTATCGTTTTTTACAGATGGCGACATCTGCATTCCTTTTCATCTAACGCTCTTCTTACGAGGGAACCTTCCCAGGTGTTAATCGCCGATCGAGCTCATATTTTGTTCATAACCAAAACTCGATGAGACTAGCAGAAGTCCGAAAGGATTCATCCCGATACGCTGTCTTTCCAGAGTTACGACTGTTTTACTATTTTTTCGACCTTTGGCAATGGTATTTCTAGTGAAGCCCACCCATAGAATTTTGACCTGAAATTTTGTTCATAAACAGATGTCATGGCGACTAGAACATTCTAAAAGTCTCAGCTAAAACGAACGTTTCTTTCTCAAAATATTGAATTTTCAAGGAACGATCATATTTCAAAGGGAAAGGTCAAAAAATCGAGCTTCTTGGAAACTCAATTTCTCGAGAAAGAAACGTTTATTTTAGCTGAAACTTTTAGGTCATTCTAGTGGCCATGACATCTGTTGATGGACAAAATTTCAGGTCAAAATGCCATTGTTGGGCTTCACTAGAGATACCATTGCTAGAGGTCGAAAAACCAGTAAAGCGGTCGTAACTCCGGAAGGGCAGCGTATGGGGACGAATCCTTTCAGGCTTATACTAGTCTCATCGAGTTTTACATATGAGCAAAATATGAACTCGACCAGCGAGTAACACTTGGGAAGGTTTCCTCGTTAGTGACTCCGGACTAGCGACTGGGACGAACATCCCAGGATGAGATATTCTGGTCGAGTTCTCATACATATTGACTTTTTAATTCAGTATGTTATCGGTTAGAGAAGTCCGAGACAATTGCGCGTAGGTCACTTCTTCAAGGTCATTACATGACTGGTGATATCGAGATTTGAAGGGTGTGGGTTATTCTTCTTCAGTCATCTACACCCACACCCATTTGTCTCTACTGACAGTGGACTTCTCGGATGATTCACTCATATACACGACGAAGAACGATTGATTATTGAATGAGACAGTATATGACGATGTTTTTCCTCAGAGTAGCAGATAGTCGGTCTGTTCGTTAGAAAACAAACTTACTATACTGCTCCATACAATAGCTAATCTCCCTCGATTGTGTATATCATTGCATCAGTGTTACAGTCCACTGTAGATAAGAATAAAATGGTATCTTGAAAAAGTGCAACATAATATCTTTGAAATTATATATGATAAGTAGACTTCTGCAAAATGGTCATGGCCACGGTCACGATCTCTCGTGACCATGATCGTGACTTAACGGCGAAAAATTTTGATGCTAAAAATCTGACTTTTGTAAAAAAAAACAAGATTTTAATTGGGCTACGGGTTTTCTTGGTTTTATTACAGAGAAAATCCACGAAATCAATTTAAATCTTGATTTTGTAGCGCAAAAATCCAACTAGTAATCCAAAATTTCCGTGACCGTGACTAGTTTCGAAATATCCCCGTGACTTTGAATGTAACGGTGATCAGGCTGCTCGTGACCACGACGTGACGTGATTGAGAAATCGTCATCACGCAGAAGTCTAATGATGAGTAATGCTTTCATTGAGCTTCCAAACAGAGCCAATTTTGCATGAAAATTCAACCCCGTCCTTTTTCACTCAAGGAATCATATATTTATCTAATTCTTCGTAAAACAAATTTCTGACTATTATCTATACATGCAGTTGTACTTTTTGAAGTTGGTACTGTTTTTTCCTTGATACAGTAACCCGCATAAGCTTATATGTATTATTGAATGACACAACTAGATGTCTCTAGAATATTCTACACATTTTGTTCTCCTTTGTGGGACAGAATAGTTAGCTATCTTTCTTGACATTTTTTTTCTTCCTATGAAAATGTATCGAAATATTTCTAGACCAATTCTAATTTTGTCCAGGCAAATTCAGAATTTGACTGCATTCCAATTCTGGCCGTAACATATCTCCATATTTTGCTTGACTCAGTCAATGACAACTACAGTAATATTTAACGTTTCGATCGTTTTCAATGCAAGATTTGATAAATCAACAAAACTAAATATATTTAGTTCTATGGAAGTTATATATATTATTGGTGATCTTCTCAACTATGATCTATAACATTACAAAAGTTTTCCAAAATTTTTTAATATTTTCATCAATAGAAAATGTAATTAATGACTCACAAACATGAAATAATATAATTTCTGTATAAAGATTATTGTTATGATTTACATTATGAAAGTGGCAAAAGATGATCTGTTTTGGTCTTTGAAAGATATAAAAAAGAGAAAATATATCTCACCTAAACTTGTCATGACAAAATAAACCATAACCGAAATAATTAGATAAGAAACAAGAGAGCCACCAGGACCTGCTGATGCTAAAGCTTGACCGGAAGCTAAAAATAAACCAGTTCCAATAGTTCCACCTAATGCAATCATAATCATATGTCGTTCCTTCAAATTTTTATGAAGACCGTCTTTGCTTGGTGCTATCAAGATTTCACTATCATTAAAGCTATTTCCATAAGAGTTACTTGATGTTCCATTTGTGAACCTTTTTGGTAAAATCTTGCTGAATATTTTTTGAATAACATTCGTCTAAAAAAACAGAAATTGACTGATTCTCGAATAATTTATTCTATTTAATCATACGTGAACTTTAGGATCATCAAATTGACCGTTATTTATAAGTGACGATTCTATATTTGAGGACGTTGATGAAATAACACTGATCTAAAATATAAATGGTTTAATTCTTTAAAAATCTCTTAGTGTTTCCTGTACCGGTATTCCATTTTTCTCTAAACTGTTGCCGAGAACGTTTGATGATTTGGAAGCCATGTCCATTATATTTATCTAAAAAATGGAATAAAACTTTCATGCTCGACAATAATATATGGAGAAATGGATATGACATCGTTTACTGCTTTTATAGTAGTTTTTTACCTTCGAAGATTCGTGTTGTTGTTGTTTGAATAACTGAAACAATCTGTATTTTTTTACTTTCTGTCGTTTTCAGATACCGACATGATGCATCTCTTTCTTTACGTTTTTGTTAATATACTCACTGAGGACAATTATCAGGTTCTGATAGTTTATGTTACCTTTCGTTTTAATATCTTTTCAAAAGAAATAAAAACAATGCATGACAATAACATTAAACACCTCTAATCAGTAGATATTTGTTATCATTACAGATATGAAAACACGAAGTGAGTGCGTGTTTTTTCTTTTCTCTTACTTATTTAAACTTGACCTGGGCAGTATTCAAAGTTTAAAGCCTTTTCAGAATTTACGGATAATAAGTATAGATAAAAATCTTGTCGAGATTTATTTCACCTCTCTGTAATAGTTAGACAATAGAAAATTCGTCTAATAATGATGATCATTTACAAATTGATTTTAGAAACAAAAAAAGAATTATGAAAATAATAGTTATTGATTTATATCTAGTCAAGGATATGACGACAATAAATATCTAACATCTATCACAGCTACTCTTCAGAAATAACGATGACATTCATCGTTCAAATATATATTATTCTTTATTTATTTTCGTAGCAAATGATAAAAATTCATTTTCTTGCGTATTTGTAACAGGCGCGAAGACCCACGAAGAGCCAGAATCGAGAATTGATGCAATCAGCAGATAGAGCTTGGAGAACTGATTCTACGATGACCCACGAAAACCCATATCTTTTGCCAGTTAATGGGCCTACTCGAGTTAGCTACATACCCAAAGCTTCAGCCTTTTATATACTTGCATAAGAATAATAGCAAGTACCTACTTTTTCAATTTTAAGCCTTGTAATGGAATTTGGAATGACATATGCGAAATTCACTTATATGGTTTCAAATTGAAAAAGTAGGTACTTGCTATTATTCTTATGCAAGCAAAAAAAAGACTGAAGCTTTGGGTATGTAGCTAACTCGACTAGGTCCATTAACTGGCAAAAGATAGGGGTCTTCATGGGTCTTCGTAGAATCAATTCTTCTAGCTCTATCTACTGATTGCATCAATTTCGGATTCAAGGCTCTTCGTGAGTCTTCGCGCCTTTTACAAATACCCCATTTTCTCATACACGGATAAACTTTGACATATTGAAATGGGTAGCAAGAAGTTCGCCAAAATTACTTTCGGTAACCAGACCTTCGCCAATGGCGAAAGTCATGTGGAAATTCGCCAATACACCTACCCTTCTCCCCCCTCCCCCGCCGAGGACACTTGCTAATTGACGAAAATCAGGTAAGCATTCGTCAATACTGGCGCAATTCTGCTTCATTCTCAATTCTTGGGACAGAAAATATTAATATATGATATCATCTCTCGCCAATTCTCACATGATTTCAGCTACGATCTTGTCCAATTAGCGAACATCCAGCAACCTTTGATTCATAGTTAAATGAGGATATAGGGGTGTACGTAATGATTTACACCCGCACCCATCCACCCGAACCCACACACACCCCACATACATCCATCCAACACCCTGATAGCCAATCAATTATAATATACACCACCGTGTGGGTGTGTGTGTAGGTGTAGGTGTGGGTATGGGTGTGGGTATAGAGAAGCATCACACCCACATCCATATCCACACCCTTTGTAGTCAAAAGGAATTCTGTTGATCTAATCTGTTTGCTTTTTTTATATTGGATCACTGACACATGAGTATACGATTTAGAAGAAATATGCTTAAATATTAACCTTGTTTCACAATCTGTTTATGTAGCGTTTAAAACTCACTCGATTGTCTTCAAAATGCAATGATATATTTATTCTATAACCTCTTTCTTATCAAGAATATCTATACGCTTCAACGTGTATCATGCCCCGCTTCAGATCTAATTTATGTTTGATAAAATCACCAATGATATCCTCTAAATAATTGTATTATTCTCTGATAGATGCAACTTTTATATCTCAATGGTTCTTCTGACTGTTTTCTTTGAGAAAATTCATTTTCTCGCTATTGAAGAAATGTGTCCTAGGCAGCAAGCAATAGTTTAGTTCATCTGTTTGATATCGCCTCTAGAAAAAAAAATGATTGGACGCGTACGTCACTTCATGCGACATATTGTACTGATCCAAGCGGCGAGATCAACGGCTATTGCTTGATTCTAACATAAATAGTGATATTCATCGAATGAATACACGCACAAAATGTCGGACTATCTAAGTGTTTTACCCATCGAATTGATTGAAAAGATTCTTGATCATATCTTCATTGTTGATATTCTCTTGTCAGTGTGTTTCGTTAACAGACGTCTTTATTCTATCTCTCTCGTCTATTCTCGTCTGTGACTCGATTTCAATAGCATAGCCAAAAAGACGAAACAATTCGATTTTCTCTGTAATGGTTTGGCCAATCTGGCATCTCGTATCGCTTCATTGACCTTCGATAATAACGATAATAGAATAACAAATACAAAAATCGTCCGTTTTTTATACTCAATTACTGTGAATGACATTTTTTCGAATTTACATTGGATTACTCTCAATAAAATCGATTCCAATATTTGGAACTTGATACGAACTCGGCTTCCATCATTTATGGCGTTAAGATCAATGTCTATCGTCTATGTTTATGATTGGAAAGAATCAGTATCAGCGTTGATGTCGCTCATTTTTCACGATCTTTTATTCACTGTCAGATCACTAAAACATCTTTTTCTCTATACATCGTTGTGTCGAAATGAAACAATAACTATTTCGTCATCTTCTTTTTTTTTAATGCAAACATCCTCTATTGAATGTCTAACACTAACAGGTATTCAGATTAATTTGCATGATGTCTTTGTCGTTGCACCGATGCTACGCCAACTAGATGCAAAACAGTTTGTTAATCAATCTATTTACGACGAGATAAGTTTTCAACCACCTTTCAATTTACAACAATTATCGATCACGATCAATCGGATAACTATGCATGAGATTAGACATTTGCTCTCATCCATGACACGCCTCACTCATCTTACTCTTCATGTGAATGATGCGGAAAGTAATCTGATTAATGATCATGCATGGATACCATTGTTGACTAGAATCATCGTATTTCAGTTCATGTCTGGAATTTCGAAGGAAGACAATATTGATCTTGACTCTTTTCTTACGCAATTCTGGCTCGAAGGAAAGAAATGATATGTGACATTTGATCAATGGATGGATACTTCTATTTCGTTTCTCTATACAAATCCATGCTGTACAGAGTATCGTTACCCATTATCATTTATGAAAAAAACATTGGTGTCTGAATCAACTGGATTAGAACCAATGACATTTCCACATATTAAATATCTGATATTTTGATTGGCATTTACCGATGTCAAAAGAACATGTGTGTCGATTCACTCATATTCATACATTAATCGTAGAACAAGAGCTTGGCCTGTCACTCGAATACATCAGCCGTTGGATTGATTTATCACGAATCACTAGTTTTGTGCAAGGTACATCGAAAACAGAACCATAAAGCAACGGATTCGTACAAATTCTGCATTGTCCTCCACGTCTACGCTCTCTCTGCTTAAATATCAGTGATGGGATCGGTTCGTGTTTTTTTGGAACCGAACCGAATCGAACCAAAAACATCTCAAACCGAACCGAACCAAACCGATCGAATTTTTCAAAACTTTGAACCGAACCGAACCGAAACGAATTCGAAAATTAAGATAAAGGCTTAAAAGTTTTTATTTTTTTCTAAGAATATTCCTCTAAAAACCTTTATTGAAGACATGCTTAAAACGTCATTAATAATTTTAAAAACGAACTAGAAATTTGTAGTAGAAATAATGTTAAGAATATGGATATTTTCGTTTTCAGAATAAAAGATATTTCGGATGATAGAGGACTAGTTTATTTTCAGTCGTTAGTCAATTTATTTCGCTAATCAAAAGCCGTTCAAGGTATTTTTTTGTCGTTGCTCAGTGCTGATATATAGGAACTACATTTTATATGATACACCCGTTTTAATAGAACAATATTAAGTAATACTTTATAATAATTATTTACCACCTTATTAAATCCAGTTTTACTCTCAACTTACAAGACTTACATGACAAAGAGAACCTCAAATTGAGAGAAATAATCTACCCATCATTTGAAAATGGACAATTTCAATGACATTTTTAGGCTTTGCTTATCGATCTATTTCGAAATATCATTTAGGTGATATTTTCTTAACTTAAATGTTCATGGTTATATATTCCTTGAACCTTAAAAAGAAAGTAATGTTATCGTTATCAACTAAGAATTATTACAACACGATAATTAACTGATACTTATATATATATATGAGTACTTCATACGGAAATGTAGTCTGTAAAAGGACGCACTAGCTGAAACTAATGAGTAGTCGAGTAAAAATAAGAAATTTGCTACACTTTCTTTATCCATTCTTAGTATTTATATTTGTTACAGATCCCTTTCTCTGTAATGAAACTTGATGTTTGTAAAATCTTCGGTTCAATTCAGCCGAAATTCAATTTTATTCACATTATTATCTTTCCTTTTCTTTTTTCTTTTACATATACATGTATTTTCATATATAAGAGAGAGAGAGAAATATATCAGTTAATATCATTTTGTATCGCCACTGCACTTTGCTGAGTTTCTGTTTAATGGAATTCTTTTTCAGTATCCATCAGAATATTTAAAATAAACAAATGTATTTTGTTAAATATATATATTTTATTCCCTGTATTTATAAATATTTAGCAGTAGCTGTGAAATAAAAAAAGATATCAGAAAATGTCTGCACTATTGGAAAAACAAGTTTTGATTGTTCAAAAGAGTATAAACATAGTTAAACAGACTAGAATATGTTGCAATCAAATATGTTTGATTTAAAACAACAGCAGTCTGTTTATTGTTGGAATTTGCATATTTTCAATACTTGTATGAGTTAGACAACATGAATTTAAAGTCATTTTCTTGAAAGATATAGTAAAATTCATATTAATTCACAACAATATAATGAATCCTATAGATAATTGAATGATCGAGCGGTAGCGTTATTTTAAAGCATCGTGACATACCTGAATAGAGGTACTGTACTAATGTTTATCAACATGACTTTTGAATTTGATCGAAAACTCGATTAGCTATATCTTATAAAATATTATGCTTGGTGAACATGTTAGAATAGCTTGAAAAAAAAATTTCAACAGACAATCAATTATATTACATATATAGCAATAAGAATGGTACCAATATGTACTTGATTTACTAAATCATAGAAAATAGTTTAACGCACAATTCAATTCATACTTGAAAAAAATCATATTTGAGAAAAAAATAAATGGTTATTGATTTTTATTGCTGGACGCTTATTAACAGTCTAATCAAAACATTTACTTCAAGTATTGATTACTTTTTTTTATTTTCCTTTCAACGCATCTACAATATAAAATAAGCATTGGAGGATACATGAAGCAGAAGCTATTGCTAATGAAGGATTGATATACTATCAGTGATGTGCGTTAATTATGAAGAAAAAAGTACATTTTTTTTGTGCACGTTAATTATTCAGTTGCACGAACGATAAATGAGAGAACAAGCAAAATAATGATAAAATTTCTAACCAAAAACAACGAAGGTACGTTTTGAAAATATTCTTCTTGTTTTTTCGCGATACGGTTGGATGCGCAAAGCAAATATTATTTTGCAACGTATATACGAGCAACATTATGGTTTACTTCCAACCATAGAACAACATCGATACAATACACTGGTATTTTTGTCGTGGGCACAAAAGATATTTTACCAATACAACAAGTAAATGTATGTGTTTTTTGAAACTGCAGTCTCTTTAGATGGTTTTTTTTTTAGTAATCAATGTAGAGCGTATTTTTCTGTCCTAAGCAGTGCCACTAATCATGTAGTATGCTATTTTCCTAGTAATGAAAATGTTTCGAAATTTTCTTAAGAAATGAATAGTAGAGATTAGCTACTATAAAGACAGTCGCCTCACAAAGTGTCTGTTGTTAGTAATGTCAATGCGGTTTGTGAGTTTCACTACAGAAATAAAACCATTCACTTTTGTATCCTTTGGTCATTCAAAAAGATTTGATCTTGCTGAAAATTAAATAAGATGGCCAATGGAAACTACGTTCTTCGTAATTCTTCGTGCAAGAAGTTCTCTTGAACTTAGTATTTGGTGAAGAACGTGTTTGCAATAATGTCTTCAGTGCAATATTTAATTTTCGTCATGTTCTTTTGCGCTTCGGTCACGCTTGGAAATCATTTGAGAGTGTGAGTACAGAAAGTCGATATGACAGGTTTTCACAAGTGCAGATATTCCATACAATGAGCTATTTCAGCTCAAACTGAATTTAGAGGAAACAAATATTCGATTTCAAAAAGGAATGAACGTCTAGTGAGAGGAAGGTGGTTGGAGAAGAGGCTTCAGAATGATTCACTTATATATAAATATTTATAGACCCTTCGCTCAGATGGAAGCTAGGCAGTATTGGAGTCTTAAGACATTATCATTGATATATATATAAGGTGCCAAAAAGCAAAATACAGCACAATTTTATATATAGAGGTTATCTTTAATGCAGAGCGTAAAGCGCACGCGCTCTCTCAGTCAATGCTTTTGAATAAAAGAACAATATTGAATTTATCTCTTTTTTTTTATAACCAGAAAGAAACTGAAGGTGAGAAACAAGTTCGTAAATGAAGCTGTCTGGTTACTATCAAGTTGCTTTCTACCTATTATTGACCGCTCAAACATCAGGCCAACCTGTGATCAGCCCTGTTCCAAACACTTATCAATTATACAATGATAGTTTACTGATGAGTGTCTGGTATAATCGAATATCGCCCACGGCTGCAGCGGCTGATGGTGCCAATGGTATCAATCAACGATGGGAAGAGAACACATCGACAGTTTGGTATATTGAACTTCAGCGATTCGGTTGTGATGATGTGACAGCTGCCATTTATGCCAATCGTTCAAATCTGCTATCAAATGGTGAAAATATTTTTAACTGGGGCTTTTCAAAGCAAACTGTTGATGGTGGATTCAACAATTGCTCTAACTGTACTCCACCTATGCAGGGCACCGGAGATGCGTTCCACAGTACATCAATGTTTGTTGAAGCCGTAGCCAGGTGTCTAATACTCATGCGACAATCGCCAAATTTTATTACTTATCAGTCGTATTTTGATCAAATTGTTCCTAAATAAATTCGAGCAGCTAGTTGGCTTTTGCAACCAGCTGTTCTGTCCAAAGGTATCCAAAATAACATGCCTTATACCCATCGACGGTATATTTTGGCTGCTGCTCTCGCCGAAACTGCTCTACTAACAAACGATTCATCGCTTCAACAACAATTTTATTCACAAGCAGCTGCATTCGCACAGAATGGCTTGTCGCTACAAGAGCCAAGTGGTTTCAATCCAGAGAAGGGCGGCTACGATTCAAGTTATAATGCATATGGTTTATATCAAGCTTGTAATTATTTAGTAGTGTGTCCAGATTCTAGTCTCCAACAGCAATTAACAAACATGTTGTCAAAATCATTTGTGTGGCAACTGACACGAATGAATTCAGATGGAAGTGCAAACTTGACGGGTAATACTCGAGTTACTGCTATTCCTGGTACAGGTGAAGTCGCCAGAAGTGGTTACGATAAGAATTATGATTATAAAGCAACTATTTACGCATTTGAATTGGGATCTGTTTTACTTCAAAGTGAAACGCTGCACAATGAAGCACGATTAGTAGCCAGTTATGTGGGCTATATACATTAATAATCGATGGAAATAAGTCAGATTTGTCTATTAATAAAGATTGAACTTGTTTGAAAAACGATGTGTGGTAGTACGTTTTAATGCATTAGTTCTTATATATTACTCACTTTTCTTTATCGAACAATCATTCGTATAGAGATTTCTCGCATTTATCGTAATCTGTTGAACAAGAGAGAATGTGCAAGTTGACAGCTGTTTGTGATCTTATAGCTTCAAATAAAATCATATAAAGTAGTACACTGCAAATTAAAAAATAAATTATCTTCTTCAATGAAAAGTTTAGGATCTAGAAAGTTACATTAAAAGCAAAATTCGCGGTGTTTGGATCAATGAAGTGATGAAAGGTCATAAGTAATGTTCATCGGATGCCAGTTCAGTTATTTCTAGACAAAAAGCTTCTAGCACAATTCCTATGGAATAGAAATGTGAAACATCATTGAGTCATTTTAACCGTTCCGAAGAGATCTCGCTGTGTCTATCGTAATTGATTGCCGACTGAGACCAGCATGTTAAAATATCTTTTAGTGCCACAGACCGTGACAAGCATATCGAAGTGTATGTTATGGTCTGTGAGTAAGGGTGAAAGGGGTTTCTCTTTTCTCGCTCTTTATACTTCAACACTCATCTACAATCTTATTTCACAAAACTCAAGTTCCAAAGAAATACAAATACATTTAAAACCTAAGATTCATCAGTCTAAGCATCTAAAACCAGGAACCAATAAAAAATAAGAATCCCAAAGATCGAATAAGATAAAACAACTTGGTGTGAGTGTGTCTCTCTTGAACACTTTCGCATCCATATCCACATTGAATTGCTAGTACGCATGTATATCTCGATTTGAATGGCATCATTCGGTACCCTTAAACGAAATAGTTAAAAGTTTAATACATCATCCTTTTATAATGCCAACCATTTCAATTTTCTCGCTGTTGCAAAAGAAATTCAGTTAGAAAATTCTGTCCTAAAATTGAACTAAACCTAAAATTGATAATACTACTTGAGTAACTTGAACTGAACGATGAGCAAATGATTCTATTTTCACTACGAAAGTATATTATGTAGATATATGGTGTCTCCTTTAGAAAATAATCGTAGAATACTGAGAAAAATTGCAATGTGGCATATCAAATATAAGAAGTCTGTATATGTTAGACTTTCGTCAGTTCGACAGCCACTATTATTATAGAAAATGGTGTGATTGTCGGAGATGAAGCGACCCACACTCACTATTGTCCAGAAAAGAGTAATCATCGATTTCTAATTGGTAGATCAATGTACTAATTCAGACATCGGATATACTTGAGGCTCTTCATCAGTCAGAAAGAGGATCGCTTATGGAAAGCTATCACATGTTGTTAAATCATTCTTAATTTTGTTGAGCATTTCGATGAGCATTTCAAATGCAACTGAAAAGTTAATACTTTCATCACAGGTTAACATCGATATATGAAGCCGATTCATATCGATATGAGAGTGTGACTTGGATGTTGGTGGGAGACTGCAGTATACCCAGATCCATATTCACCATGAATACAAACATGAAGATAGATGTTCATAAAATTTGACACAGTGCTTACTCGTATGCTAGATTCATATTGTTTTGCAAGAGTTGGCGAAAGTTCAGTGAACTTTCGATAATAATTGACGAGTAGCATGATTCTTTATTATTTAACAGTAATAATATTTTATTAGAGTGAAAACTTTAAAATCTGATCTAAAATTTCATCTTAAAATCAAGTACATAGTACATGCATAAATTTTCCTAGTAATGAAAAAAATGGAAAACAATATCATAACTTCATCTGATTTTTTATTACAAACTTAATCAAAGAAAAATCAACTCGAGTACTTGTCATTGAGCGAATTTATTGTATGCCTAAAAGAAATAGAATAAACTCATTTATTTTATTTACAAATATACTCTTGAGAATATGATAATGTTTCAGAGAGAATTCTAAAGTATTCTTGAAAACCTTTCTGAAATTCTTCCACCATCAATGAAAAAAATAATATCATCTGAATTAGATCAAAACAAATTATAAAATATAACTACATACCATCTAATAGTACATTAAAGTTCGATTGACTCTATAAAATAAAATTCAACTAATTATTTTCTATTGAAAACTTATATTACACATTTCACTTACCAATAATATTTTTATCTTTTCTATAAAATAATTCATATAAAAAGTTCCTTTTAAAATAAATGTTTTCATTATTAACATTAAAGTTTTCTGATAATTGATTTTCTTGTATTTTAGCAAAATTAACAAATATATCATCAAGTGTTACTTGTGTAACTGTATAATCTTCAATTATATTTCCTAATTCTTCTCGTGCTTTTTCTAAAACGGCAAACAATTTATATAATGGAACATTTGTTGATACACAAAAATGTATCATTTTATTATGTTCTTCTTTTACATCAGCTTTTGCTATTCGTTCTTTTATATAATTAATAATATTTTTCGTATCACTATTAATATCTGATCGAACAAGTATACTATAATCATGGCCAAACTTTTAAACAAAATCAGATAAAGAATATCTGGAAGAAAAAGTATTAAACAATCGATCAAATTTTACTTTGTTTTTAAACATTGTACGCTACCAAGACATTTGAATTCTCCACTAACCATTATAGCAGGACCTAAAACAAAAAGACTAATACATTCAAACGAAAAAGGATTAAGTCTTGATACGTTTGCATAATGGTTTACCTTCTTCCATTGGATGGAATGTTATTATAACTGATTTATGATCTTTACGAGTTAATGTTAATATACAATTCCATAGAAATCTTTTTGCACATGCATCCATTCCAGTTGTTGGTTTCTAATAATGAATATTAATTATGTTCTTTTGTATAGAAAATATTTAATTTTAAACTTACATCCATAAAGATTATGGATGGGTTACCTATCAATGAAATAGCTGTTAATAATTTACGTTTATTACCATTAGAATATTGTTTTATAGGTCGATCACCCCAAAGTGGAAGACCAAGGTGTTTTAATAAACATTCAGTAATCTAAAAATGATCTTTTCTTTTTATCCTTTCGTGTCAATTTAGATACATTAACACTGAATCTATAATAGGTACAGGTGCAGTATTCGTGAGAGATGATATAAACCTATGCTTATATAAGCAAAATACTCATGTGATTTTCAATATGAATATATTCAACAGACAAATACAATATTGAGATCATCGTATTGGCTAATGTTGGTACTAAGATCAATTAATACTAAACATAACATATCCTATGTTTATGCTGACTCCATTAATTTTTCTACAACACGAATAATTTATTCATTTTTTTTTTGAATCAAAACCCGATAGATTTCTTCTGCTTGGTTAATAATCTAATATGCTATCAACATGTCTATAAAGTATGATGACAACAAACTTACAAATGAAATATTCCTTTTCTTTTAATTCCACGTAAACAAGCATGAAGATAAAGATGTTCGCGTGCTGTTAATAAAGAATCAAGTACATCAAACTGTGAACAATAACTAAAAACAAAAAGCATAAACAATCTAATAGTAACAAATAGTCTTTTTCGTTTTTCTTTTGTCCTATACCCTAAATTTGGATGAACAGCATCTAATTGTTGAATAACACTATATAATTATTGACAAATGCATTTTCATGTGTCATTGAAATTTCTTCCGTTAACATTTTAAATGATGTTGATTTTCCTGAACCATTAATACCTAATAAACCAAAACATTCACCTTGGTTAACAGCTATAATTTTTTTTCCAAATCTCCATCCATAAATCTATGAATAATGAAAAAAAAGTTTTCATATTTTCATATTCATAACTAAATCAATAATACGTAAAGTATTACCACTTATATTATCATGATCCAAATAAATTCTTCGTCGTTCTGTAGCTAAATCATCATCTTCATTTGGTGATATTAAATCTTTTGGTATACGAATACTACCACTAAATATTAATAAAATTCGATTAAAATATGCTAATGTAATGTTCTTACCGATCAAGAAAAAAAAATCGATAGTGAACAAGTATTGCAAATATAAAAAAGACAAAACCTTCAATAGATAAATACATTACTTTTCGACCAACGATATCAAATTGAAATGGTGATATGTGAAAATAATGCGGAACTATAAAACACACATTTATGACTAGAAAATCTCAAGAGCAAAAAAGCAAGAATGAACAACTAACTATATTTAAGACTAATTACATTCTCTTAATAAATTATACTCAAAATCAAATAAACCTCGTCCAAGAAAATAATGTGGAAATATTAAAAATAATTTTGTCAAAATTTTATGAACTATTGCTAAATTTGATTGATCTTGAAAATTTTCTAATATTATTGTTGACATTATTGTCATTAAACCAATAAGTAATTTGTTGAATACATTAATGATATTAATGCAAAACCATATAAAAATAATAATAAGATAAAACAACGAATATAATAATACAACATGCTTTTGATACACAATAATTTATTAAGTCCCAAAGAAAATTTGCCAACCAATAAGTTATACCTTCAAAAAAGAAAAGATTTTTTTTCTATTTAGTTTTTAACAATTTTAATTACCTTTAACACCACTAATATATTATAAATGTTTTGATGTTGTTGAATGTTCATCAATAAGAAAAACAAGAAAACTTGCAGGAATAAATGCTAATGCAAATATAACACATATAGCTGTTAATAATTCAATAGTAATAATATCTTGTATATTATTATCAATTTCAAATGGTGTTTCTGGTAATGGATGACATATAGCTGTTATACCGTAATCAGCAATTGATATTGAAGAATTTTTTTGAAGAAGTACACCACGTAATAATGCATTATTAAATACATTTGCAAATGTTATACCTGCTGGCCATCCTTTATTATTGTACCAAATCTTAAATAGAATATAGATAATTAGTAAGCAGAACTTCTGCTTAGAGTGTGGTTGTGTGTAAAATTCGCCCACACTTGAAACCTGTCACGTACAACACTGTAGAACTCGGCTCGGATTGAACTGTAATTTGATACTCTCAATCAAATGTTATAATTGGAATATGATAGTGGCCTCAAAGATACGAGATCCATTTTTTTGTTGATTTTTTTGTATCCAATGGCTAGCATATCATGCATATCTCTCAGAAGGCTAAAGCCCGTCAGATCCGGGGTCAATTCGATCGGCTCCACCCAAACTTTTCCTAGTCGTAAAAGAAAACATGGTGAACACATGACGACAGGAATAGCAAATGTAATGATTAGAGCGATGTTTCCATTGTAGAATAGCTTGTGAATTTAAATTGAAGATACTCATCCTAGGAGATACAAGTCTAATAGTCAATATGAATAATAAAATTTAACTAAAGTTATTTATCGAAACTTGTGGTGTATATACCCGAAAGAGAGCAGCAATTTTAGCTGCATCAATCATTGATGTTGATTGATTTGTTTGAGTAATTGCATCGATTAATTTATTTATCAATGTTTCATTTAAAAGATCAATACTATTCAAATCATTTTCTGTTAAAAATTTAAAACCACCAAAACGTTTTATTAAATATTCTTCAAGAAATTCTGTTTTTAGTATCCTAAACAAAGAAAAAAACTAATTATATTTTTCTTTAAATAATATTTTGTTTTTTATTTTAATGTTACAAACGAATCACTTATTTTATAGCCCAATAAACGATATAACGTATCTCTTGTTTCTGTTATATCAAAAATTGGTAGTGGACCACCAGCACCTATTGGACATATTTGCATTGTTTACCAACAATTACATTTTGGTGATATATGTGTTTGATTATAGTCAACATTATTTAGTGCATTCATTATATCTTTACTTATTGATGCTTGACCATAACCAATATCTGTCGAATCACACGAATACAATTGTGTATCTAACACTGTTGATGTCATACAACGTGTACCTAACGATGGTGATTGAGTAAATGTTTGTTGAATAAATTTCGATAATAATGAACTTTGATTAATAGATATTGATTAAAACATATAATTTGATTTACCCCAATATCATGAATGAAGAATAAGACGTGATGGATCACTGTCATCTGATGCTAATTTAATAACTAATACAGCAAGCACAACGAATATAATTGGAAGAAGAATTTCAAACAATAATACTTTGATATTACGCTTTGTACGATGAAATCGTTTTTTGAATAATCCACTTGCTTGTACAGCTAAATAACATATACCAGTATAACGTTCATTGGCATAGAAACTTCATTCGTCTAAAACCAATTATTAAATAATTAACTCTTCATAATGTATTTCTTTTTAAAAATGATATTGTTCAATAATGATATAGTTAATCTTGTAATTTTTTTTTCTGTGAAATTAATAATATTTGCTGTAAAAGATATTTTAGAGTTTTTTGTTAATATATTCAGAATAAAATTCATTTAGAAAACAATTTCTTAGAAAAATTTGAGTAAAAATGCTATTGAAAAACTTGAACTAAGTTTTTTTCTAAATTATACACTAAATCTGAACACTGCTTCGGAAACTATCTTCAATTACATAATTCAAGATAGCATCGAGTGTTCAAAGAGTTATCTAAGAATTTCTTGAGCTATATGAACGATGATGAAAACATCGTTGATTTTCTTTAAGGATGCCTGTATCCCTTGAGTTTTTATATCAATTTTTTTTGCATTGTGTGTAGGTCTATTATATTCATTCATGAAATCCATTCGGCTGACTTATTTATACTGCATTTTTTTAATTAATTGAAAATAACTCAACCCAAGACCGAACCAGAGCCAGAACGGTTCGGATTCATTGCATACCTATGTTCGTCTAAGAGAATATTCACTACTTTTCTTCAGTCATATTTACGATATTATTTTCTTCATTTAATGAAATAAACAAAATTTAAATCTAATCCGAATATTTCTATATATTGAAAATAAAAAGAACTATTTTATCTTTAATCATATCACTTAAATATTCATTAAATTGTTTTTGATCATTATTATTTTCTTTTTCTTCATCGGTTTCATCTTCATTTTGTTCTTCTTTCGTTTGATTTCTTCTAAACCAATTTCTTAATATGAATTTTCATTTTTTTCAAACGTGATAAACGTTTGTAATCTTCAGGTCATTTTTTTTTCATCAGCTACACGAAGAAAGCTTGTTCAAGACTACTATTTGATAGACTATAACTTTTAATAGGATATCGATTTCTATTTTCATCAAGATCAGCAAGCATTTTTGAAAATATTTTTGTATGTTCAACATCATCAATTATAACATAAGTGATTTGATCACCATGTTCTTCTTTTATACGTATATCAGACACATAGATTTAAGAAATTCTGTTAAACGTCTAAAACGCAGAGTAGAATTTGTAGTAGAATTAATTATATTCAATTTTATATTGATTGGATCGAGTGCATCATTTGTTGAATCCTAAAAAAACAAATAATGACGATTAGAGACTTGTAGATTCACATTTTTTGTAGATATTGTTGCAACCGGGTCTATACCAGAGTTATTTGTCCGCAAGTATTTTGTATCTTCTGTGTAAGTCGAAATGCTGTACCCGGTTAAGCCAACCTCAGTGTGCTATTCTATTCATACTCGAAGATGAATGCAAGGCGAGTTTGAAATTGAATCTGACAAAAGCTAAAACTTAAGATCCGAACTCGATCTGGATTTGAAATGACTCGTAATGTTCTCTAATAACAATATATAAAATTCTAAAAATGAATAATTACTTTCTGCTGTTGTCGTCTAAGATTATTTTCGTCTGATATTGATATTAATTCAATAATTAAATTACAACCTTCACCATATTTATCTTTTAAATGCATTGTTGTACCAATACCTTGTAATTCACCCGACGAACTTATTGATAAACGATCACTCAATATATCAACTTCATCAAGATGAGGAGTTGATAATACAGTTGTACGACTGATTTTATATTTAAGTTTAAGATTCCATATAACTCGTCAAGCAAATGAATCAACATCTAAAGGGTAGGGTGTGGGTGTGGGTGAGATGATTTCCTAAATTCACAACCACATCCTTGTCGTCTTTCTTTACCTTTTTCTGCTCATCAAAAAAGAAATTTCAATTTTGACTAGGCAAATTTAAAATTTGACTGAATTTTAATTTTGCCTGCAACATATATACATACGTTGAGGATGTCGACGAGATGTATTAGTCTTCAATTTCAGTAATTATAAGTGTTCACTTCAGAGTACAGCGACGGAATATTATTAAAATTGCCGCAAACGGTTTTGAACTGAGCAAGAACGATGCATATCATCAATCATTTATTGTTATTCGTTATAGCGTTTACGATAGTTGTTCATTGTCAAGGTGCAGGTGAAAGGAAAGAAAGTAAAAGCGGCGCAAACATCCATATTTTAAGAAATAAGCCTTTATTTACTGTAAAGTATCAAAACATTTGAAAATTTTTCCACAGTTATCCGTCGAATGGACATATGAATTTTCTGAACATATATCTGAACCTTACGTTATGTAATTGTCAAATTTTATGTAACCAAAAGTTTTCGTATTATTAGTGAAGTTCGTATCTCAACATCGGTTTGCATCTAACATTAGAACTATTAAAGAATATCTTTTAAAAGAAAATTTCTAATTAAGTTCTATATTTGTCTTATGCGACTAAAGCAATAAAAATGATCTCAGGCAAAAAAAAAGATAATTATTGAGGAATTAAAGCTTTTACATTTTTCAAACCACTGTTTATCTATAGTCATATTTTCCAAGCTGTAAAAGGCAATAAAGTGAACATGTCGAGTTTAGTGAAAGAAGAAATCATTTAGATTTTCTGAAAACTAGAAAATTCAATTGCAATGACTGCTCATACTATTTCTTTAGTTGTTTCATTTCGAAAAAATTAAATGGAAATTTAACTAATTCTAGCTCGTCTCAAGCTCCAAAAAAATACATGTGCAGATGATGCTTGTATGCATAAAGAACAAATTAAAAAGTAGATCTCTATAGGAATCACTTTATTTATAATATGTAGGTTTGGCTTTGTGATTTGGCGGCGTAGTACACCATGACAATACAATCATACCTATGTCAATTCATCGCCAACTATGATCGATAAGCAGAATCTTATTAAGTTCGTATCGGGTAGATGGTTTAGTCGGTATGACCACTATGGAAGACGGTATGGATCTTATCAACTGTCAATGTCGTTCAATCCTGAAACATTGACAGTGATAAGTTCTGGAGTTGATGATCTTGGTGCGTACACTATTGAAGCTATTTACTCAACCAAAACTAACAGAATCGAACTTCAGAAGACATATCAGATGGAAGCAGGCAATCCCACATAGAATCTTGGACATAGTGTTACAATTCAAGTTTGTTGAAACCCGAGCAAACATCGATTTGTTGGAACATGGTATGTCATGATAAGCCAATATAGAGGACATGATATGTTCGAGTTTAAACATAAGACAAGTTGTACTGCTATGAAATGATAATTTTTTTTTTCTCATTTTTTAAAATTTAAGAAAAAATCAATGCACTATATGAAAATTGAAAGCTTGTTTCCTAAATTACGATATTCAAACTATGCAAATAGAAAATAACTATTTTCTAGATGCTTCCAAACCATTCGATCCTATGTGAAATAGTTTCGAAATTACTCTACTCTAGAAATAGTCTTTTTTTTTGTCGATTCGTACTCATTCGAGGGTAGGAAACATATAGATATTGGAACATATCGCTTGATTAAGAAACTTATCTTTATTAACGATCGAAGAGTAGCATGCTGATGTTCCTGTGGATTTTATTTTCATGATCGCTATTCATAGATTCGAATAATGTACACTGAGGTTTCATCGTCGATATGGATAAATATTTTTAGGCAATGGTAGTATCCAATTTGGACGAATTTCAACAGCAGATGATAATGGTGGATAGTTCTTTTGAAGTTCTTTTAATATTGTCGGTC